GTGTGGGTTCCTATTTGACGCACACCAAGGAGCGAAAGGAGAGAATCAAGTGGAGGGAGAGATGGAGAGGGAGTGAGAGGAAGCACAGAAAAACCCGAGAAACAAGGCTGGTTGTGTTTGTCCTTGTGTGATTCACCATCTGTGGTGAAGCACTTTCCTACAGCAGTATTACCAACAAGATGATTGACATAAAAAATACATTAAGATGTGAGAAGGAGAAAAGAGGGTAGGAGGAGAGAACGTCTGGTCCTGTGTGTGATTCACAGGAATACTAAAAGCTTTGTCTGATTCCGAATCTTAAAGCAATAAAGCTTTGAGATCTGTTCAAGACAAGAAAGGAAGGAGGGGGAAAGATGGAAGGAAGTGACCAAATAAAATAAAATTAGAATTAGAGACAGATTAAAAATAGAGAGGACAGAGGGCAGGGGGAGGGAGAAAGACAAACAGAGAGACGTGCAATGAGAAAGTCAGCTGGCGTGGGGAGAAAGGAAGGGAAAAAATTATTCAGGGTCACAACCAGAATGCATTAGCACACACAGACTGAGGGTGAGAATGGAAGAGAGATTTACAGATAGTGTGTTCTTGGAGGAAGAAAGAGAGACCGAGAGATGTGGAAGCATGGAGGGAAAGAGAAATTAAGAAATAGATAGAAGGTCACGAGTGTGTTCTTGTTCCCATGCTAAATCTGTTCTATCTCCTTATATCCACAGACGTGCACTCGTACACACAAACATGCACGAAGCACAGAGAACTGCCAACCGCTAATATAAAGCAGTAAGACTGAAGTCACATTAAAGTAATACTGAAAAAAATTACATTATATTTGCATATAAAGTTAACGTTCTAACTGATAATGTATTACATTAACGTTCTAACTGATAATAATGTATCACAATAATGTTCTAACTGATAATAATGTATCACATTAATGTTCTAACTGATAATAATGTATCACATTAATGTTCTAACTGATAATAATGTATCACAATAACGTTCTAACTGATAATAATGTATCACATTAATGTTCTAACTGATAATAATGTATCACAATAACGTTCTAACTGATAATAATGTATCACAATAATGTTCTAACTGATAATAATGTATCACAATAACATTGAATTGAAAATAATGTATCACAATAATGTTCTAACTGATAATAATGTATCACATTAATGTTCTAACTGATAATAATGTATCACAATAACGTTTAACTGATAATAATGTATCACATTAATGTTCTAACTGTTAATAATGTATCACAATAACATTTAACTGATAATAATGTATCACAATAACGTTCTAACTGATAATAATGTATCACATTAACGTTCTAACTGATAATAATGTATCACATTAACGTTCTAACTGATAATGTATCACAATAACATCCAAACTGATTATAATGTATCACAATCCCATCACAATCGTATTCTAACTGGATGTTCTACTGTAATTGTGTTCTAGTGTATGGCGGCTGACACCTGAATTGCTGGGATCACTGTGATGACATTAAGATTCATATTTTCATCTACAATTTCAAAGTTGTAGAGCACCAGTATCAACATGTTGTCCAACAAAAACTGTAAATCTGTCGCAATTAAGTTACATTGCCAGAATTTGGCCTGACAAGGGCTACTCAAAATTTCCATCCACCTTGGTTATTCAACATCAGACATAGCCAATCCTCTTAGTGCTACACAGGACAATGCTAATGTTTGTGTGAGCCCAGATTAACAGGCATTTAAAACCAAAGGAAAGCTCCCGCAATGAGCCTGTGTTTGTTTTAAACCCTCTTCCCTTTAATAACTATTAATAGACATCTGAGCAGCTGGTGAGTAGAGAGATTATGATTCATTTGAATATTATGTCATAATTGCAGCACTGTATTTCCAAATTTATAACTGCAACAACAACGTAAATAACAACAATGCCAACAACAAAAACATAAACAACAAATTAAAAGGAATGAAAAACTATGCAAGATAAAAAAACACAAGCCATATGTGCTTCTCCCTCCGTCTGTTTACTTCCTTTTTTATATTTCTTATCTTGTTTTCTGAGATTCTCTCATACACACAAGAATGCAGTAAACAAACATCCGCAGCTGTAGATGTATGACTATCCGTGCACGCACACACACACACACACATCCCTGCCCATGTTGTCCTGAAGGCTGACAGCCAACAACAAAAACATCAGCAGTAAACAGAGAATGTGTACGTGTTTGTGTGCGTACATCTGTATCACTGCTGAATAGTAAACAGGATTTCTTGAACTTGTAAAGATGCTGAAATTCTGACACAGTGTCCCTGTTAAAGTGTAAAAACAACTGTCACCTGCAGCATTTCAAGAGTCACTGCTGAATGTGAAATGACACGCTTGCGTAAAAGAAAACAAATACAGCTGTGATCCCTGAAACTGGTTCAATCTGCTTGATTGTGAGAGATGCTGCACCCTGAATACCAAGCGTCTCACACCTCCTACTGTATGTACAGAGCATCTGGGAGACTCTGGCTGTGCTGCGACACATATGTGCATCCCTGGACCTGTTCTTATAATATCGCTCTTGGTAATATTTTTGTATGGCTCCTTTACCACTGTGGATGTTTGCAGTTATTGTTTTCAGCTGCACATATTTGAGTGTGTGTAGAGAGGACCAAACAAACAAACAGGAAACAGCTCTCCACCAGCAGTCGTGTGATGACATAGCAGTACAAACATGCACACAACAGATGCTGGACACACAGTGTTAAACTCATTACTACTTAAAGAGGTTGGAACAAGTCATTGTTTTGCAAGTCACAAGTAAGTCTCAAGTCTTTGCACTCAAGTTCCAAGTCAAGTCCCAAGTCATAAACGTTGAGTTTCTAGTCCTAAACAAGTCAAATACCAATATTAAATTTTGTGTTTCCTCCAGGTGCTCCAGCTTCCTCCCACAGTCCAAAGACATGCAGGTTAAATGATGACTCTAAATTGTCCGTAGGTGTGAATGTGAGTGTGAATGGTTGTCTGTCTCTATGTGTCAGCCCTGTGATAGTCTGGTGACCTGTCCAGGGTGAACCCTGCCTCTCACCCAGTGTCAGCTGGGATAGGCTCCACCCTCCGAGACCCCCAACAGGATAAGTGGTTATGGAAAATGAATGAATGAATGTTGAAACAAGTTTGATAAGAAGTTCCTTTGCTGTTAAAATAACATTAGCTAAGCATTAGCTTGCTCTGTTAATATTAGCCTCGACATAACTTTCTTTGTGCCACTACAAATGTTGAACAAAGTTGGAAGCTGCTGTGGTTTCATCTGTAATTTTAGACCCACACATTTCTCATACTGCAATCCATGTTTTGTTGACCACTGCATAATTTTTGTACACAGACAAAATGATCTTTGGTATTCTTTCACCAGTTCGTGCTCAGCAACGTAATGTTACTTAGTCATGGTTCTCACCTGCACCTAGACTGGATGCTGATAGATTGGTTCAAACAAAGTGGAGCTGGGGAGTTAAAGGGAAATTTAAGTTTATTTCAACCTGTCTCCTATCATCCTAAATTTGTTTCAAGTGACTAGTGACATAAAAATAATAGTTAGCATGTTAGCCGTTAGCCTAGATACAGCCGGGGCGCATAGTAGCATCAGACCTGTTAAAACGTAAGTGAACGGGCAACCTTCAAGTGCAAAGTTAGTCCACTAAACAAGCTTTTTTTCCACAAAGACCGCCTCATATCGTTAGGATAAATGTCAGAGAACATATAGAAAACCACATGTAAACATGTTGTCTTACCTTACCGGTGTGCTGCCATGTTTGTTTACCATCTAGCTCTGCTTTCCAAAGCGCAGCCGAAATATATCTGGCGAGCTCTAGATAAAGCCCAGCTGGATACTACTCCAGGTGGAGGTGTCTCGTCCTCGGTCATATCCAGACCTTGAAAATAAGGCTGCAACCGGTCCCATTCCTTGCAACAGAGGCATTCCTCTTCTGTGGGCACTGGGGCACAGCATTCACAGGTACACCACCAATCTCCAGAGCTACGCAGCCTTGCAGCAGCCATTCCTCCTCTCTCGTCCTCTACCTGTTGCACCTCTCTCTCTCTCCTCCTCCGTTCTTCAATTTCAAGAAGCTCTTCGTCAGTGTATTCTGGCTCAAATAAATAAGGGCGGCCATCAAACTCTGCAAAATCAAATTCCTCCTCCACAAAGTCGAAGTCTGGCAAAAAGTCAGCCATTATTCTGTAAATCTTTCATAAAATAAATGAATGAAGTTTTCAGGCTACTGTCCGGTTCTGCCTTCCAGCTGTTGCTGCTTGTTCTCGCCAGATTTCAGGCACGCTATGAAATCGCTGCTTGTTCTCGCAATGTTTCGGCCGCGCTTTGGAAAGCAGAGCTAGATGGTAAACAACAAACATGGCAGCACACCGGTAAGGTAAGACAACACGTTTACATGTCGTTTTCTATATGTTCTCTGACATTTATCCTAACGATATGAGGCGGTCTTTGTGGAAAAAAAGCTTGTTTAGTGGACTAACTTTGCACTTGAAGGTTGCCCGTTCACTTACGTTTTAACAGGTCTGACGCTACTATGAGCCCCGGCTGTATCTAGGCTAATGGCTAACATGCTAACTATTATTTTTATGTCACTAGTCACTTGAAACAAATTTAGGACGATAGGAGACAAGTTGAAATAAACCGAAATTTCCCTTTAAGTGTCAACTTGATGCTAATGCTTGCTGTTGATTCAGGAAATGAAGGGATATTAATGGATTCATGGCACACTTTCTACACAACATACATACTTCTCAATCTTTAGTCTTGGGGGAAGGTACCAAGTACTTTCATGTCAAAAGGCTCAACTCCAAGGGAAGTCACACATCACTGGTGTTCAAGTCAAAGTGGAGCTGAATGTCTTTTTTAAGTCTAAAGTTGAGTCTTAATCATTCTAACTTAAGTGCACCTCATGTGACTGAAGTCCACACCTGCTAATTTGCTGTTCCATGTGTATCTGCAGGTTCAGTATGACTGCAGCAGCAGGTGTGCTAACAGGCTTGGCTAAGCTAAAGCGCCAAGACTCCGCCCGCTCTCAGCACCGGCCCTTACCTACATCACCAGGCCTGGGAAACTCCGCCCCAGAAGCTGCCCCCAGGTAATTCTCTTCTTTTCATAAATTCAATACCAATGCAAAGATTATTAGAAGCTGTGTTGACAAATTAGCTTTTTCATCAGCTACTTTGGGACAGGAAACTAGTCATCGTTTACTTTCTATGTGATTTATGAGCGACGCTGGCTTGTTTTTTGTATGGTGGCTGTAGTGATATTATCAAATATATGTTTCTAAAAACTATCATTTTTGTTGTCTTTCCATACTTTATTTAGAAAGCGGAAACGACGCACAGATGTTGTTGTAGTACGTGGTAGGCTCCGACTCTACTCTGCCTCTGGGTTTTTCCTTCTCCTGGGACTGGTCATCTTGGCCGTAGGGATCGGCATGGCGACGCTGGGTTACTGGCCGCACAGTGAAACCACGCCCTCGGCCAGATTGCCGACTGGAGGAGGATCTAACACAGCAACTGCTGGAGGAGCTAAAATATCTGCCTCAGAGGAAAATGGAGGCAAGTTGGCCGTCACAGACGAGGACGTGGCTAACTCCAGCACAAGTCATAATGTGCAGGGTAAGTAAACAAAGGAATGAAAAGTAAACCAGAGTGGTTTGTTCTGAAAGTTGATTTTCTGAAAATGAAATACAAAAAAAGAACTTGGCTCTGTTTCACAAATACCTGAGACGTTGTCCGTCTGTCTCCTTTTTTTTTTTTTTTTAACTCAAACATTAAATAGCTCATACCCTCCGTGTGTTGTGTATGTAGGCACACCCTCCAAGCAGACCGGGGGCATCCTGACACGGTTCCTGGAACAACATCGTCACTCTGAGAGGATGAAGATGTTCGGGCCCTTCACCATGGGCATTGGGATTTTCATCTTCATCTGTGCTAATGCCATTCTTCATGAAAACAGAGACCGAGAAACTAAGGTGGGACCACAGACTGTATAAAATAATGGACGTAACCACTGTGACCTCAGCCATTGGTTTGAGGACTCCATTTTAAAGCCTCATGTTGGCATTTTGTCCGTCCCCATCATTTGGTGAGAGAGGGTGGAGCACTCGAACACTAATTGCTAGCTTGGTGAGCACTTTTGCAAAACCATTAAACGAAATGTACTGACTGGAAAAATTGAATATTTGACTCCTTAGAGGATCTTTTAGTACAATCGAACGCCAAACAAGACCTCAGCTCCAAAGGTTGCCCCTCTGGCAGGACTGAAATTGGCAAATACATACACACACAAGTGGGCGGCTGTGGCTCAGATGCAGTCGTCCACTTATTGGAAGATTGACGGTTTGATCCTTAGCTCCTCCAGCCCACATGTAGAAGTGTCCTTGGGCAAGATACTAAATCACAAATTGCTCCCGATGGCTGTTCCATCGGTGTATGAGTGAGTGAATAGTTACTGAGTAGCAGGTGACACCTTGTATGGTAGCCTGGGCCACCAGTGTGTGACTGTGTGTGTGAATGGGTGAATGTGACATGGAGTGTAAAAGCGATTTGAGTGTTCAGAAGACTAGATTTATTTACAAACACATAGTCTGACTCACTGGACGTAGACTGTGACTGTATCCTGCCACTGAGACGCTGATTTCGGCAAGCATTTTCCCTTACTTTCACTATCTGCATGTTACCGTTGACAAATCCTATTTACGACAGGAAACAACAACAACCTCCAAGCTAAGAATTTGCACGCTAAAAATGGCATGTTTTGAAAAATATTTGGATCATGCAATGAGGCATGCCCACCTTGTTGTTTCGACAAATTGTTATAAGGAGCTATAACGAATTAAACAACTTGTGAACGCACTTCAGAGAAGCCAAGACTCCATCTCGCAGGACTCTCATGCCCAGTGTTGATTCATTTCCAGACACAGCCAGTCTGAGTTGACCTGCCATATCTTACTCTGGCAGCAGCAGCATGTGCCAGTGACACTGACTTCACCAATGCACCAACCTGTTCCACTTCAAACGAGCTCCTGTAATATCATCATACCAATGTTCTGCCAGCAAATTGTCTGTGGTTGGAACGGGTCTAGTGGGCTCCTCCAGAGCTTGAGTATAGTCAGGCTTCACCTGGAGAGAAACGATAATCAAATTATGTTTGTCTTGTTGTTTGTGGCACTTTCTTTTGCGGAGCAATTTTAATGACAATGCTCGCCTCCCCACAAGCTAATGTTCCACCAAAACCAGTTCAGCCCAGACACTATTTTCCGAGAGCATCATTGCGGCATCCTTGGTTTAAGTGCCACCCAAGATGACTGTGATTGGTTTAAAGAAACATAAACAAGCCAGGGCGTTTCTTGCCCTATAGCAGAAAGACCATCAGTGATTCTAGGCCTTTGTGTAGCCCTGACACAGAGATGTGGAGATAGGTCTGGCTACACGAGACTAATGTCTACCTGGCTCCAGAGAAATTAAATTCTAGAGTTGCCAGTGGATGTTGAGGGTCTGCATGTCCGCCAACAAGCTGTAACAGGAAATATAAATAGAACTAATATTGCCTTGCAAGGTTTGAAACACTGATTTGTGCAGAAATTGGGTTGTACCAAAGGTTATGAGGGACAACCTCAAACAGATTTTTCAATTCTAAAACACAATACCTGAGTCAATAGAAAATGTAGTTAATATTCGGCCCCAATTCTGTATTCTCATTTCAGTTCTTCCTCCAGTCTCTACAAAATGAGGGGCATGCACAGTGCAGTCATCCATATTCATCACCTCTACATAACTAACATGCAAATCATATTTCTGCCAACCCCGTTCCATCCCTATCTCTGCAATTTTCCTCTGATCACATTTCCTCTGCTCGTATGCCCTCTTTCCCTTCCTTGATTCGATTAATCCTCTCCTCCTCCCTTCCAGGTAATGCATGTGAGAAACAGGTTTTCAAGGTCATAAACACCAAACATGCACACATACATCTGAAACTACGAAAAATGTGTTACAACGGAATATTAATTATCCCCAGGTAATCCAAAGATGAAAACTTCTGCTGCTACTACTACTAATAGTATACTTCTCTTCTGCACTAGATAATCCACATGAGAGACATGTACTCCACCGTCATTGACATCCATCGCCTCAGGCAGAGGGAGCAAAAACACCACCATCACCGCAACAGCACCTATGCAAGAGAAGCTGGGGATCTTCGGGCCTTTGGAGCTGATAACACAGCACGCATGGCCAGCAACTCCCTCCTGGCGTTCTCTTCTCGAGCTGGAGGCAGCGTTGGAGGCGGAGGGTCTACAGAAGAAGAGGAGGTGCTATTAGGGGACGAGGAGTTTAACAGACAAAGGGGACAGGCTAAGTTGGATTGTAGCTTTGCAGGGCTGCTGGCGCCACTCTACAAGGATCGGCCCTTCTACGGTCCGGGATTGGCTCGGTCGGATTCGATACGCCACCAGTGGTCAGTGGATGGAGATGGGGAGAAGGGAGGGCATCACGCACGCTCTATTGTCTCCTCCTCTTTATCTGCATTTACTCTCCCTGTTATAAAACTCAACAACTGTGTTATTGACGAACCGGAGATGGAGGCAATTACTGAGGAGGAGAGAGGAGGAGAGAGAAGAGAAGGAGAGAGGTCACAGCCTCTGAGCTCCATGGAGTCTCTGGTGGTCCCTGTAGCATCTGTTGCCAAGGCCTCCAAACCGCCAGGATTACACAGGAGTAACTCCGCCTCCTCTTCCTCCCACTGCTCCTCTGTATCCTCTTGCTCCATCTCCCCCGCTCCCTCCTCTACCTCAGGCTGCTGGCTCTCCCCGGGAGCAGCGAGGAGTGACTTTGGTTCAAACTCCTCTCTGCACATGCTCAGCAGCCACTCCAAATCTCTGGACCTGGAGCGCAGGCCGAGCATGCTCAGCGTGCACCCGGAGCAGCGGAAGCACCCCAGCTGGCCCCGCCTTGACCGTAGCAACAGCAGCCGTAGTAACAGCAGTAAAGGCTACGTGCGGCTGGAGGACAGGGAAGAGCAAGGGGAGCGGCTGTTGGATGCAACAGTGCGACGCGAATACAGCAGGCGGGAGAAGCTGCTAATGATATCAAGGTCGCATAACAATCTGAGTTTTGAGCATGACGAGTTTAACAGCAGCACACTGAAGAGGGGAAGCTCTGAGACTCGGTTCTGAAGACGCTGAACAAAACGCTGAAGACAGTTCTGTCAATTGCTCTCCACACTGTGTACAGTGAGTTGGTGTCGGGGGGAAACTGACAAGTTTAACAGCTGCACCCTGGAGAGAGGAGAGCGGAAACTCAAACGCAGTTTCAAAGACTCTTTTTGTGAGCAGCAGGCTGGAGAGCTGTGGGTAATGGACCATCATACACAGCAGAAGGTTCAGGCCTCATGTCAGCAAGATGCTAACCGCCTACTGTGTCAGGTCCAGAGGTGCTGGTCTGTGCCTGACCCTGACCTGTGACCTCTGTGGAGGGAGGCAATTGAAAATAGAAGTTCCCTACAGGGTTCAATAAAATGAATCACATTATATCATCAAACCTCTTCCTGACGTACAGCGAGTGAGTGAACTCTGATGGATGGAGTGTGAAGAACTGTCCAGATACAAGAGCTGCTGCAGTGCGAGCAGAAGATGAGAATATTTTATGGGGCCTTTGTGATTTGATTTCTCCCTCTAAAATAAATGTTATTTATTCCTAACTCTTGCAATTTTCTGAGTAATAGGTAACCTCTGTATTTTCCAACCTGGACTCAATTTTCCAATGCTTTTGTTTCCAAGACACCAATGGGAAAAACAGTTCCAGAAATTGGTCCAGTATTGAGCGAGAGGGCTGCAGCAGGCAGTGGCAAAGTCTGCTGCGTTTGGTGAAAGCTATTTCGGGGCTGTTCCTAGTTAAACAAAAAGGATCCTGCTCTTTACGAAAAAGGTCTATCTCTGTTGGGATCCTTTCCATAATGTTGTCAGACAACTATAATGATAATCTGAGCCTGTCAGTGGCAAAAACACTTTTAGTAGATGTAAATTGACAGTGCATAATTGCCTAGAGAATTTATAATGCAGCCTGTTTTGCACTGTACATTCAAAAATGTTCCTATTAGTCACTTAAGCAGGATTTATACTTGTGCGTCAGTTCTATGCAGAGCCTACGCTGCAGTCAATGCCTGTGGCCTACGCCATTGTGAGCATTTATGCTTGTGTAGTGGTGTGTCTGTGTCACTCTGCAGTTACACCTCCAAAACTCTAGCTGGCGACAGGGTTTCTGTGAAGTGCTGTAAAGTTCAGTTGATTCAAAACACACATTAAACACACATTAAACATGGCTTAATAGAGACAATTTCAAACACAAGTACACAAATCAGCTTCACTATAACTCGCAGCATTCACAGACAAACACTTGTCTTTATCTGGACACATTTTCCCCACAAATACAACATGCTAATATTTTTAGCACAAGCCTATGGCATTTTACATTGTATAAATTAGCCTAGCAGCTAGCGGACTTTTCCTCTACTCATATAAAGCCAGGGACAACAGCAACATTTAACAAAGGTAACGTTATACAATTTGCCTCGATCACAACTTACATATTCACCAACAAAACAACTGTCTTATACTAAACATGTTTTCCAAACAAATACAACATGCTAACATTATTAGCACAAGCCTATGGCATTTTACATTATGTAAATTAGCCTAGCAATGAGCAGAGATTTCCTCTGCTCATATGAAGCCAGGATAAATCACACACAAGACTTAAAATGCTATTTACATGGAGGCTTTATTGTCTTTGAAATTAGGTCTGTGTCGTTGCAGCGTGTAGTTACATTTCTGGGGAGGTGCACGTCAGGCTACGATGTAGGATACTGCATCGATTTGACACAGAAGTATTAATCCTGCATTAGGCAAAAAACATTGGAAAATAGGTGTAAATATACAGAAGTTAATCATTTCCTCAGCCTCTCTTCATCCATGTTGACTGGATGTTGGCTGGAGGAAAAACAGAAACGTCAAGTATGTCTGGGTTGACTTTGACTGTAGACTGTATATAAAGATGGTGTATCTTGTATTTAACTGAGTCTAATTAGAGTTTTGATCTGGAACAATGAAAATAGGTTGCAGGTAGAGCAAGTGCGCAAAACTTCACATAATTAGGGCCAGGGTGAGGCGACACTGTACTGCCTGTCAGCTGACACAGAAAGCAGGTCAGGGCATCTTCTTTGGAGGAAACAGAAACTATCTGATGTTCACTCATTTGCATCACATCCAGTCAGGAGGAGGGGTCAGGGGATACCTTGTACAAAAAGTAGTGCCAATAAAGTTTTAACAGGATCTTAACCCTGAGACCACTCTTTAGGATCAATGCTGTTTCATTACGACAGTTTGTGAAAATTGTTTTTCTTCAAGTGCTACAAGGTTTCATTCTAGCAGCTCCTGGTGAAATCAAGGACACGCTTTGAGCAAGTTTCTTCCTCAGCGGATGGCAGTGACTCAAAGGGAAATTTCTTATAGCAAGGTCTAGAAAAGACCTGAGAAACTCTCATGACCGGTTTGATATCAGAACAGAAAAAGCTTGGAGAGATTAATAGTAATACTGATGATCTTTGCTTGTATGGAACCTTAGAAAATAAAGTGCTTAATGTGGTTGCTTAGAGAGACTGAGGCTGATAATGATCATTCACAAGTGATCTACAGGTCTTGACACAGAAACAGCAAACTAAACTCATCCAGAATATGCTCATAGCCTTGAACACGTAATGGCTTAACACAGGGACAAGCCTCTAAAGTCCAAAAGGCATAGACAGTAGTGGTACAGTATTTATTTTAAAGGTGCTTTACGTATGTTTTGTGTCTGTGTGATTCTCAGATCGGAGCAGATGTAGAAATCCACACACGTCAGACAAAACCAGTTCCTGTAATGTCAGTACGCTACAAAGCATTGATATGAGTTAAATCAACGTGCTGCAGGCTGCAGGACACAATAACGGAGTCCATGTTGCCCTGCAGTCACAATACTGCTGCCCTTTCCCAAGAACTACAGTAAGAGATTTTGTGTATCTGCTGCTGAAAGCTAGAAGTAACAAACTCTGTCTACGGCTCCACTCCAGGCATCTTAGGTTAATATCTTACTAGAGACTTCACTCAGGATATGCAGTCTATTATTCATATGTTGATCATTTTTTGTAGACCCTAATATTTGAATATTTATAGACTTGAGTGTGAGCAGAAGTTTGAAAAATTAAGGCTGTAACTAATGATTTTTTTTTATCAGTGATCTGTTTGAATCAATGCTCTATGAACAGCCAAACATGTCAGGTAATAATCAAATCTGAGAAATGTCGACTTGCTAAATGACTTAAATTGACTGAGAGAATTGTCATTGACGTTGACAATTGTCTGTATAAAACCAGGAGGCTGTAATTAAAGTCCAACTGAAATGAAAGTGCATTTTCTTGTCTGCCACAGTAAACACATATACAGCTCCTTTTCTCTCACAAACATAAACACACGTCCTTGTATTAGTCGAACGAGCGACTGAACAAACACCCACAAAGGGAGAGTGCGCTGCTAATGTCAGCTACAGCACATTGAACAATATAAATTTAAATAAATAATACATTTACCTGCAAATACAAGTCTAGTCCAAAAACCATATTTACACCTAACTGTGTCAGCTCGTTGCAACGAAACGTCAGTGTCATGGCCATGTTAGAGAGGGCAAGAAATGTCTGCACATAAATGCAAGTACACAAATAGCTACAGTTTTTTGAATAAAATGAACTATAGCTGTCTCCAGTTTAGTAGAATCTCAACAGTTAAATTGCTGCTGCACGCTCAATAAAGCGTTGTGTGTTAGGCTTAATGTTACATGAACTAAATTACCTAACATTACACGATAAAAAATAATTCATCATCAGGAGGAACTGTACAAACTAATATTTGTCAAACATGGATCTGTCTTCCAGGTTAACAGGTGTAGAGACTTCCCTATATGATATGATTTAATGTGGAAGTGGACAACTTTTCAACCAGCTAGCTCACACTGTCTGCTTATAAACTCATTAATCATACCAGATGACCACGGCTCATTTTAGAAAAATGACTCATTGCAATCGGGTGAGAAATATTAACGTCATAGTGTTTTTCATCCAGAAAAAAAACGTTTTTTTTAATAGTCAAGTCTTGTTCTCTCCAATATGGCAGCAACACTGAGGTAGACAAAGACACACACACGCCCCTCCAGTAGGCTGAGAGGTAAAGGAGCATTCCTCCAAAGACTGTTTCCACCTTGAAATGACAAAATGAAAGGGAATTACTAGATGTGATTTCAGGTGGACTTTACAATGAGTGCAATGCTGTTTTCTGCTACAATCTCACACGTGCTGTGTCGCTTTTCATTTATTTATTTTCTCTGGGACAAGGTTCACCATGTGATGATGACTGCAGGTTTGATTTCAGGAATTTAGCTACTGAGCAACATAGTCTCAGAATGTTTTGATATTAAAGGGCCAGTTCACGCCAAAACCAAAAATATAAAATTTTCCTCTTGCCCGTGGTGTTGTTTATCAGTTCAGATTGTTTTGGTGTGAGCTGCAGAGTGTTGGAGATATCAGCTGTACAGATGTCTGTCTTCTCTCCAGTATAATGGAACTAGTTGTCACTCAGCTTGTGGTGCTCAAAGCGCCAAAAAATTCATTTGAAAAACTCAACATCAATGTCTCTTTACAGAAATCATGACCTGGTTACTCAAGATGATCCACAGACCTTGTTGTGAGCAGTTTCATGTAGGAACTATTTTCTTTCTCCTGAACTATCAATCAATCAATCAATTTTATTTATAAAGCCCAATATCACAAATCACAATTTGCCTCACAGGGCTTTACAGCATACGACATCCCTCTGTCCTTATGACCCTCACAGCTGATAAGGAAAAACTCCCCAAAAAAAAACCCCTTTAACGGGGAAAAAAACGGTAGAAACCTCAGGAAGAGCAACTGAGGAGGGATCCCTCTTCCAGGACGGACAGACGTGCAATAGATGTCGTACAGAACAGATCAGCATAATAAATTAACAGTAATCCATATGACACAATGAGACAGAGAGAGACAGAGAGAGAGAGAGAGAGAGACAGAGACAGAGAGAGAGAGAGAGACAGAGAGAGAGATGCAGGTAATGACAGTAGGTTACAACAACATTATTGAAAGTAATAATATTATAGTTATAGTTCTGGCTACTGTGGTACAATATGTTGAAAGTATGTATTAATATCTGGCAGTATACATGTGTGACAATAGTCATATGTGTATAATAACAGTAGAAGTATGACTAATGACTAATGATGGCAGCAGCAGCAGGAGGCATCTGGCAGGACCACGGCAGCAGCACAACCACACACGTCACGCTGTCCAGGCACCGCTGCGATATGAGTTAATCTGAGAGACAGTGGAGCACAAAGGCTCCGGAGAAGAAGCCGAGTTAGTGACATCCAGAATGGCCGAGTTAGCAAGATGCAGTAATAGGATGAGAGTGAGAGAGAGAGAGAGAGAGAGAGAGAGAGAGAGAGAGAGGGAGAGAGAGGGAGCCCGGTGTATTATAGGGGGTCCTCCGGCAGACTAGGCCTAAGTCAGCCTAACTAGGGGCTGGTACAGGGCAAGCCTGAGCCAGCCCTAACTATAAGCTTTATCAAAGAGGAAAGTCTTAA